ATTTCTTAATTCTGCAATATTTAACAGAGTGCCCTTTTTTCATACAGTAAAAACATTTAATAAATGGAGACGAAACTGTTTTACTATATGCAAAATAATTTTTGAATGCTCTGGTTTTCTTTCCTATAGATGGTGTAAAACCTATGCCACCACGTTCAATAACTAATTTCTGGGAATTAAGTATCCTATCAAGATTAGTCTTTCCTTGTGCTAATTTAGATGCTGTTTTTACTAAGTATGATACTTGTTTCTGTAACTCAGGACAGTTTTTGCAATCTTTAACATTACATATGCAATCAGAATTATTATCTAATTCTAAATTTTCATTCTTGGTTTCTTCATCAACTATTTTCTTTTCAAGAATAATGATCTTGTTTTCTAATAACCTATTCATGCTTTTCAATTTTTTGTTTTCAGTTTCTAATTTCTTTGCTACTGCATGTATTTCGAAGAAAGCATCTTGTAATGAGCTATAATTCATAGATTCAGAACTTACACTGGTATTTGGTGATTCTGAGTTGACCATTAAGCATATCTCTGGTGCTTCTTCATAGGTCTTTTCAAGGATCTTCCACATTTGTGCAGCAGTTTGACAATGTGCAATCCTGAAAAAATCATTTCTGTTAAGAGCGGATAAGATGATATTTTTGGCAATACAATCATCTTGGATTCTGTTAACAATATCAGTTTCTTGTTCAATGACATTCCAAACATTTATACTAACAGATTCAATGAAGATCTTCATCCTCATTTTCTAGAATAGATAATCTGTTCCACAAAACAGTGGAGGTCTATCAATACAAGCTCCCTCAGAAAATTTGTTTCCAGCCATGGATCGAAGAACTTGAATAACTTTCAAGCACCTCGCTCTGATGCCAATTGTTAGAAAAGTAGTTTTAGATCAAGAGGGGGGGTGAATTGATCTTTGAAAGTTTTTCGCAAATCACAGATTATCTAATTCGAAAATTAAGTTTACTAATCTATTCTTGAATCACAAAGCAATCAATCAAAATAAGCGCAGCAACTGAATTTAAATGAGAGAAAGGTTAAGAAAGATTTCACCGGTATTTTATACTGGTTCACCCAATACCAGGGCTACGTCCAGTCTCCAGCCAAATTCCAGCTGGGTTCCACTAGATTAAATGTTTTACAGATTCTACAATCTTACACCTAATCTATCACAAGAACCAACTTCCAGTTCCTGCACTTAACCTTCCTACCAAGAACCAAATTCCAGTTCTTGATAACCTCTACAACCAACTTCCAGCTGCAGAGAAAACTAGTACCCAAATTCCAGGTACCACACAGTCCAAAAGAAATGAAAAAGAATTGACAAAGAAGAAACTAGAAAGATCAAACCAGTCTATGCAATTCTGCAGTGAGTTTCTTCTTCAAAGAAAAGCAATATGCCTCAAGAAAGGTTTAAAAAGAACTTCAAAGAAAACAGCCGCAAATCTTTCTTGAAAAGAGTGCTCAAGTTGCTTGATTGATTGCTTAAGGATGTATGAAAACTGATGATTAAAAAGTTCCAAGCAACTCTGATTTTAAAGAGTATTTTCAAAACTGCTGCATTAATTAATCTGTTGAAAGTTTGTTTTAATCTGTTGAAATAGTTGTTTCAATCTGTTAAAAGTCCTTTCAATCCATTAATGCGTTCTTGAGTCTTTAACAGAATTGTTTTAACTGATACGACAACGTTTATATCAGCTAAAACATTTTACAAAACTTTTCTAAGTATGATTCAATCGATTGTTTCGTGTTTTAATCGATTGATATACTGTAAAACTTTCTTATAAAACTTTTCAAGTTATTTTAACTGATACAAAGAAGTTTTAATCGATTAAAACTCTGTACATAATTTTTCCAAGTATGTTTTAATCGATTGAAATGTGTTTTAATCGACTGAAACTGATCTGATCGGTCATAATTCAGTTCTGATCGGTCATAACAAATTATGATCGGTCAGAATTACATTCTGATCGATCATCTGACCCTTTAAGTGATTTTAATCGATTTAAACGTGTTTTAATCGATTGAAAAAGTTCTGATCGCTCATAATTCATATTTGATCGGTCAAATCTGATTCTGACCGGTCACATTTGTATTCTGATCGCTCATAATGCGTTCTAAAAGGTTTTAATCGATTAAAAGCAATTTGTATCGATTAAAATACTGTAAAAATACTTCTTTGAACATTCTAAGAGATTATAATCGGTTCTTTCAACACTATATCAGTTAAAAACATTATTAAGAAAGCTTTTGTTAAAATTCTTCGTAATTAATTGTTAAAAACGATTTTGGAGGCATTTTGCAAAATCATTTAAGAGAAGAAACTTCATGCAGCAGAAAAGATAAAGTGGTTTTACCTAAGCATTCTGTTAGACACACTAATCCTCTAACTCTTTTATCTGAGTGACTTGTTGACCGCTGCAAAGTTGACTTTTGACTTCATCTTTGACTTCACTTTCAGTTATCTGTTATCTTCATCATCATATGTTCGTAAAATATAAATCTGGTAGTAATTAAATGTATTTTGTACAACTATGGTTCTCAATATACACTCTCTGTTACATGGAGATAGTCTGCATCATCTGAATAGGGATATTGTGCAACTGGGACGGTAAAACCCAATCAATAATGTAATTGTCAAAATAAATAAAAAAATGATACAAAAAATAGTAACCATGGTCCAAAAATCAGTCACTTGTTAATATTAACTTAACAGTTATATTACATATGAATAAACTATACAACATTCATCAATGAAGATGAACAAATAATCAAATACAATATCTACATTTCTATTCCTAGATGAGGATGTTAACTCCTGATTCAATAACCATGACTTGTCGATGAAGATTTTGAGGATGAAGTACCCATCTGCATACATATTCTTCTCGAAATTTCTGAACTTGCTCCTGTACAATATGAAGAATGTCATAATAAATTATATTCATAGTAATAAAAAACAAAACAATAATACAATGACTTTAATGTTTACCGATGTGTAATGAGGCATGTTTTTCCCATTCACTTTGCTCACACCATCCCACAACTCCATATATTTTAAAACAAACAATCCACAATCATACCTGCACAATTGAATGTAGTTATTACACACATTACATACAACATTTTGCAAACAAAATTTCAACTATAATAACATACTAACATGTTTGGTTGAATTGGCAAGTCCTCCTTTGTAACCTTAAGTTCTCCAGTGGTCCTCGATTACTTTGTTTCCAACAGCGACAATAGATGTTCAAAACATTGCTACTGTTCACAATATTACATTATTCGCCAAATAAACATAGCTCTGAATTAACTATATTACCTACGTAAACAACTTAAAACAAATATTTACTATAGCTCTATCAATTGGTTTTCGTGATCTATTATCATGGCCCAATGAATCTATTATAAACAGTTCTCCATCCTTACATTTCAGCACATAACACCACCAATGACCATTGTGCACAGTGGGAGCAAAGATCTGAAATAGAAAAAACTCTGGTTAATTGAATTTTACAAAATGTAAAATGTTTGTCATGCACATAACACCACCAATGACCATTGTGCATATTATACAAAATGTTTGTCATGCAAATACAATTCTTCATTGTAGCATTTCATCAAACACTTGTTGGACATTAATATAGCATCACAACTCAATTAACCCTAAACCCTACAGAATACTTTCATTACAAACCCAATCAACGATAAACAGAAAACAAAGCAAACATCTATATAGTTAATTCAGAGCTATGTTTATTTGGCGAATAATGTAATATTGTGAACAGTAGCAATGTTTTGAACATCTATATTGTCGCTGTTGGAAACAGTAGCAATGTTTTGAACATCTATTGTCGCTGTTGGAAACAAAGTCATCGAGGACCACTGGAGAACTTAAGGTTTCAAAGGAGGACTTGCCAATTCAACCAAACATGTTAGTATGTTATTATAGTTGAAATTTTGTTTGCAAAATGTTGTATGTAATGTGTGTAATAACTACATTCAATTGTGCAGGTATGATTGTGGATTGTTTGTTTTAAAATATATGGAGTTGTGGGATGGTGTGAGCAAAGTGAATGGGAAAAGCATGCCTCATTACACATCGGTAAACATTAAAGTCATTGTATTATTGTTTTGTTTTTTACTAGTATGAATATAATTTATTATGACATTCTTCATATTGTACAGGAGCAAGTTCAGAAATTTCGAGAAGAATATGTATGCAGATGGGTACTTCATCCTCAAAATCTTCATCCACAAGTCATGGTTATTGAATCAGGAGTTAACGTCCTCATCTAGGAATAGAAATGTAGATATTGTATTTGATTATTTGTTCATCTTCATTGATGAATGTTGTACAGTTTATTCATATGTAATATAACTTTTAAGTTGGTTATGGATCATTTAAATGTTAAATATTATGACATTAACAAGTGACTGATTTTTTTCGCTTGACCGACTTTATTGTCGTTTACATTTAATTATGACAGATAAATTAATATTATAATCTATTAGCATAATATAACCGATCATACACCACTTATAATCGATCATCATAACGTATAATCGATTATAACCTAAAATAATCGATCATTTTATCTGATTTTTCTAATATCGCTCAAGCGAAATTAATATCGCTCGAGCGAATCCACCTGCTAAGATTGGGGATTCTCGGGTTGTGTTTCGCTTGAGCGATACTACTCTCGCTCGAGCGATATCCATTCAAACATGTGGTCACCCATATTACATTATGCGGCTAACTTTGATCGAAGATTAGCCACAGGTCAACATTCGCTCAAGCGAAACTAACATCGCTCGAGCGACGCCAACTGTTAAGATTGGGGATTCTCGGGTTGTGTTTCGCTTGCGCGACACTATTCTCGCTCGAGCGATATCCGATTCAAACATGTGGTCACCCATGTAACCTTATGCGGCTAACTTTGATCGACGTTTAGCCCATGTCAAGGGAACCACGTTGACGATGTTACCGGAAAAATTGTACAATGCGGTAGTGAGTGAGTTCGACTGACAAGTTGGGCAAGTTCACAATCGCGTGAGGAAGATCGAGGTCGAGGAAGATCGAGGTCGAGGAAGGAATGAGAAATTTGTGTCCTAGAAAAATGAGAATGGGAGAAGGAAGAATGAATTATTTAATAATAAAAACACTGTAAATGTTATATTTTTTTAGGGTGATGATCTTTTGACAACCGAAGGAAAAAACAACCCAAAAAACAACCCCTTTTATTAATATAATAATCATGAAAGAGTTTAAATAAAAATAAAAAATAGTTAAAATTATTATTATAATATAAAATGCAGTTGTTTAGAGGGTTGTTTGTGTGAATAGTGGTGTCAAAATATCTTTTTCCATTTTTTTATTCAATAACACTGTACATTTATTATTTTTTATTGGGTTGTCGAACCGATGTTTAAAATGGGTAACAAAAACTTCCCAAAACAACATGAACATATGAACGTGGAAATCTTAAGTCACCTGAGATGGTAGGAGGAGCAACAGGAACAGCAAGGGGCTTTTCACTGATTAAACTCCCTCTGTTCCGCTTTCGCCTCAATCTCTCCTTTCCTCTTTCAACAACCATTCGGTACCCCTCCAAAACCTTTTTTTTTCTCTCAATTTTTTATTTTTTTAATTCTTTTACTGTTTTGAATAGACTTATCTTCATTGTGGAACGTGAAGTTCCTGTGGTAGGTGGCTCTCAGAACCTCCATTCATGAGTCATGATCGTAAATATACTACTGCCTTTGTAATTTGCTATCCCATAATAATTTTGGGTTTTACTGTCAGTTGAGTGATTATTATTGTTGTTGTTATTGAAGTTCAAACTTTTTATCATGAAGAAGTGACTGGTGTGAGAGCTGAGAAGCATCGAAAATATTGTATCCTATGTTAAGGAGTGCAAGAGGACTCAAAAGTAGCTAACTACACTTTTTCACTAATAGATGAGGCTTCTCTAAGGTCAGATTGTCTCTGAAGTGCACAAGTAATGGTATATCACTTGGAATTTTAGTGGGCCGTGAGAACATTTTGCTGTAAATTAAATCTAGGATTGATGCCCTTTACTTGTGCACTTTTAGAGACTAACCACTTCAGAGGAGTTTATTCCACATGAACTTTGTGCAAGGATGAGATGAGTTTACTCATATTTGCTATCTTGCCTTTCATGTTTGAAGTGGTTTAGAGTTTGATAAAACTGTGGCACTCGAACAAATGAACATTAGTTGAAAAAAGTCGTGTGATTATTGGCTATTAGCTATAACTTGTTCCTAGTGGAAATTACGTGATCCACTAAGATTTGCCCATCATCAAACGTCGCATTACTTGAGTTTTTCTAGTAGTTTGATATAGATTTGCATGTTTTGATTGAACCAGACATATCAAGTGCTAGTGTGCTTGGCTCACTCATAGATACTTGGTCTTTGAGATGATAGATATGTACACGCCTGCCATCTTTCTGGTTATTGTCATGGGTCAAAAGTTGCCCTTTAGTTGGGTTAAAAGTATCCTTTGCCTGGTCCGGCAGACTTCTTTGGAGAGGGCGTGTTGACAGTCCCACATCACCTACCTCATATCATTTAGTATGGTTTAAATACATGTTAGGTTACTCCACATATAACCAATTGGTTTTATGTTGGAACCTTAACAATTGAGCATTGGAAGCAAAATATAAGTGAATGTCATTTAGATAAACAGTTTTCAGTCACGTGGACCTAATACTGATTCTCGTTACAATATTGAACTGTATCATTCCCATCATAACCGAACTATTTTGTATCTGAATGTTTTAAACCAGTAAAAGTAATTCATTGGCACTTTGCAGTTTTCAGGTTTTTTCAACAGAGCCATCTCCTGGCATAGAGATGGCGACAATTGAAGTCCTGAAAGAATTTCTTTCCACTGTTGAAAATACACCAGCACCCAGTACCAAAGTCTATAGCACTTATAGCTATGAGATGTGCAAGTCCGGAAACCTTTCAGCTGCCAGTAAAATGCTACAAATTTTAAATGATAAGAAAATTGTTGTTTCCCTTGATGTTTTTAATCTCATATTAGAGGAGGCAAGCCAGAAGAATGACATTGACCTTTCTTGTCAAGTTTTCATGAAGTTATTGTTGTCCTGTAAATCCCTAAGTGCAATCTCATGCCTTAAGTTTGCCCGGGCTTTCACAAAAGTAAATGATTGTGTGGAGCTACTCAGATTTCTTGAGGAAATATCAGAGATTATGTCTTCAAGCACATCATCATCCTTCATCAACAAGATCATTTTTGCCTTTGCCAAATGTGGACAGAGAGAAAAGTCCTTGGTGATATTTGATCATCTTAGGAGACAGAAGTATGGTCTGGATTTGGTCACATATAATATTGTTCTAGATATCTTGGGTCACACAGGCCGTGTGGATGAAATGATTGATGTGTTTGCATCCATAAAGGATACTGGTCTCGTCCCAGATATTGTTTCTTACAATACTCTAATAAACAGCTTGCGGAAGGTTGGAAGATTTGATATGTGCTTTGCGTATTTTAAGGAAATGACCGAGAATGGGATTGAACCAGACCTGCTTACATATACTGCAATAATTGAGATTTTTGGCCGATCAGGAAACGTGGAGGAATCTCTGAAATGCTTCAGGGAGATGAAAATGAAGGGAATTCTTCCTTCGATATATATCTATCGATCACTAATTCAAAATTTAAATAAAACAGGGAAAATTGAGTTGGCAACAGAACTTTTAGAGGAGTTGAATTCATCATCAACTTGTCTAGCTGGTCCAGATGATTTCAAGCGGAAAAGAAGGCAAAGACACACTTTAAAAGTTTAAGTTTTTAGTTTCACTCGTCTGAGGTATGAAGTTAGCGTATGTCATTCTCTGCAATGTCGTAAGTTGAAACGTTATGCTGATCAGCACGTGTGTATGACATGTTGATGTTAGAATATAGTATTGATTAATTCAATTTCTTCATTACTTATTTCACGCTATATAGGAATGATTAGCTAATTTGTTGATGCATTTGTTGAATTTTATCATCAAATAGAGACTGTTCAATTATGTAATTTGTTGTCATAAAGAGCGTCTTGTGGGGTAGAATGCATATGTTGGTAATTTTTTATCTTAATTGCCTCACTGGCTTCTTATCAAATCATGTTAAACCAACTACTTTTTAAATTTCACTTTTTAATTGAAAAGGCACATTTGGTTATCATTCGGTGATGCCAACTTGAACATTATGAGTATACTTGGTTGAGTGACATTTGGAAACTGATTTTCAGTCTCGAATGATTACCAAGTCATTTTATTTTCCATATTAACTTTTTTTTTTATGCAAAACAAGTGCCTAGCAGTTTTTGTTCTAAATTTTCCACCTTCAAACTTTTCACCTACTCCACATGCTTTTACCGAACACTTTCTTTTTCTGATGAAAAATTCTCCTGGATCAGCTTTTGACCTCCATATATCACAAGTTCACAAAAATGTATAAAGCTAGTTATGAAGTATCGATATAAATATAAACAGATATAGTTTTTTGTATATATAAAATATAATATATTTATCGAACTGCCTCACTTCCAGAGTAATAATATGACACTTGCAAGATTTTCAACTTTCAATTGGGCAGTTGCATTTTTAAAAATTAAAAAAAAAAAAGTGATTCTAATATAAAATAATCTAGTAATTATTTTTTACAGATTTGAGAGAGAGAAAAAATACAAAAGCATGCTTATTCATCAGATCACAATCCTCAAACTGTCTCCAATGGAAGGAGGGGCAAAGAGATTAACTTCAATCTCTCCCAAATATGAATCTTCTTGTCCAATCTGAAATGACTATCACTCTTGTGCGCCAGCTCACTTGCTTGCTGAGGGTGGAACAAAGATATTAAAGTGAGTCATTATACACAAATATTAGAGGCAACCATGTGAACTTGATAGCATTGTTGATTAGTCATTACTCATTACCTTGCATATATAGAATACCAAAGCCATTGAGTGCTGTGACCCATGGAAACCCAGTCTCCAGGAAGTTCTGCGGCTGCTTGCTCCCCACCAAGGGAAGCAAATTGCCCAAAATGCTTATACCTTTATGCAACCAAAACTTCACTATTTTTAGACATAACACCCTCATTCTTAAAATATAATTTTACATATGATACCATTTTTAATGTACATGAACATTGATAAGTTTATACAAGTTCCAACAAGATTTTATTACTTTACCACATCATCCTATTCATTAATATAATGTGGTAAACCGTTGGATGTTTGTCTAAAAGTAGTTTATATAGCATATAACCTAAATCTTTCTTTTATTTAGCTCTAGGTAGAATGTGCGACAAACTTTTAAGTCAGTATCTAGGATGGGACAGACAAGTATTTTTCATAAGGATGTGATGACATTAAACTATTATCTAATACATTCTTAATTTTAGCAGTCTCCATAAAAGACCCTTAAATTTACATATTCTGACGAATGTTATATAATTCATATACTTTACATACGTTCTCGTGGTATACAATGTGGATTACCTGAAGGGACGAAACTTTTGGCGTCCAGATTTTCCAAATCTTAGAGGACCTTCAGGCTGCTCTGCACACTGATCCCTACGGTTAAAGCAACTAGCCAGATATGCACCCTGTTGTGAAGCAACCTGAACATGCCAACACATTAAAAACTTGCTCACCATGCATAACATATTTGACTACAAAGGAACGTGTGCAATAGCAAGCTTTGAGTTTCTGGTGAATCCACATGTGTATAACTTACCTGTGCAGTTAGCTGGCAGGCTCTTCATCTGCAAATCCACATGACAAAGGGCCATCCTAAACTCTTCCATGTCTGTTTCTTCCCTATCATTTCCTTTGGCATCATTCTACAGAGCAGAGAAATCAAACAGCTGTTGGCTCTTCCTATAGAGTTCCACTTGCGGATATGTTAAAGATAATGCCTCCAACACATTTTTATGAATTTAGGGATGGCAAAATGGGTCAGTCCCTCCCGTTTTGACCCGCTCCGCTTTGTCCCGTCAAAAGTTGGACAAGATGAGCTAGTCCGTTATAATCATGGCGGGTTACAAGTCTTAGTCCCGTCCCGCCACCCGTTATATTTTTTATTTTATTTTATTATTTTTAAATTAAATTTTTCAATAAATTTAATAATAAAATTATTATTATTAGCAATTTAATATATATATATATATATATATATATATTTTAAGTTAATAATATAAATTGATATATTATTTTAATAAATTATATTTTAGAACAATTAAATTAAAATAAAATTAATATAATAAATATATATATATATATATATAACAGTAAAAATTTATTAAATCTTTATTTTTTATATTGAAAAGTATAATATATATATGATTTTTCTCTTATGAAGAAAGATGAGTAAAAAAGAGATGATGAGTAAGAGGAAAGGAGAGAGAGGGGTTTGTGCCTGAGAAAGGAAAATATTTCCTGTAAAGTGAGTTTAAATAATTATAAAACATTTTAAATTCTCTTAGTAGTGAGATACTAAAACTTTATGAATTCTTTTGATGAGACAGAGACTTTTATAATTTTTTTTTCATAAATCTTTATATTATATATTGTTTTCATGACTCTTTGTATTGTATTACAATAAAAATTTATTAGTAAAGCGAGTTGCAGATTGTTCGTCTCATCCGGTGAATTGACGGACTTGATAGGATGGATCAAATCAGATCGAAAATACTAATTTATCACATCATATCATGCCTGAGTGGCTTGCCACCGGACTTACTTTTGTCATCCCTACTTATTCTTGAATAGTTAAAGGTGTCCGAACTCCCAGTGTCTCTGCAGCTTAAAAACTGGCTAAGCAATCGTCCTATAAACACGTGAATGAGGTAAATGTGAGACAGCTTAATTTTATGATAAGAATTTACCCTATATGAGATACGCTAATAAATAGTTGCTATACAATCGCTTATTATTGATTTTGTACAGAAAGTTTATAAACGTTTAGAATAGAATTTTAAAATTCATATCAATGATGATTTTTTCAATGACTGATAGTGTAAAGATTTATCCATTGACATAAAATATAAAATTTGTATAGAATAAATTATACATGCCCTAATCACACGATGAATTGTATTGCAAGCTTATAAATATTTTAAATTTCATATCAATGATGATGCTTGATTGGCTGATAGTGCAAAGACTTTTCCACTAACAATACATGCATTTCATACTACTCTTTTCTATATTTCAAAATATAAAATTTTATCTAACTTGATTATTTTATACTAGTTTATTACTTATAATTTTATTTAGTATTAAAATTGTGTAGTTAATTAACACTGGTTCAATCAGACCCGAAATCAAGAAGACCAAATAATTTGGATAAGAGATACCATGATTTTACGCTGATTTATTGAAGAACAATATCACCGATGGCATACACAGATTCACATCCCTGCACTCGCAACCATTCATCAGTTGCTAGGATATTCCTTTTTCCCTGCACATAGAGCAAACCTAGCTTATAATACATATATAGTAGTTTCTAGTTATCTTAAACTGGGGAAAGAAGCCTGATCAAGAGAAAACCATTAAATGAACACCTGACCAATTTGTTCCATAAAATCTCTCACAACTGGACGAGTTGCAATTCCAGTGGACCAGACAACCAATCCATGGGGTAGAGAACTCAACTCTCCTGTTGATTTCACTTTTACTGTGATTTCCTTGTCATTAATATTGACAACTCGACATCCTGTTTTAATTTCTATACCATCTCTTCCAAACTTAAGCTCGCCAAATGAAGTAATTCTTGTATCAAACCTACATGATGAACATGACATTCATCAAAGCTACTACGACTGTCTCATTAACACCTATATGCATACAGCATTCAGATATCACCCTATCAAGGCTCTTTATGATGCTATAACATCTAAGTACACTCAAAAACTTAAGCTGGTCAAAAAGGCTCTAGATCCTAATATAATGGCTGTAAAAATTAGTATCATACGACAGAAACCATCACACAAGTGTCCCACTATTTTAGAATGATTAAGTTCAAGATCTATTTCTTAACTTTGAACATTAAAAAGTTCAAAATTATATTCTGATAAAAAGTTTATAGGATGAATTATTAGATTTTAACCTGGCCTAATTATATTTCTTAACCTAATTACCAACTCTTCTTAATTATGACTTATTCTATTAAGCTGGCCTAGTTTCACGTGTATCTTACGTGTTTTGATTTATTAATGCTTTCTTACGTGTTCAAGATGTGATCTCCTGATTGAATCACTGTTATCTTCACTATATCTTTGACAGATGGGTATAAGTTGACTAAATCTTCTTTGACATAATCATGAAGCTCAGCAGCAAATTCCAACCTGTTGGACCCCCTCCAACAACTATAAAATGCAGATTTGTCCTTCGTTCTTCGTCAGACAGAGATGGAAGCACAGACTTCTCAAAGCAATCTATCACCGACTGTCTGATCTTCTGAGCATCCTCTATCTCCTGGGAGATGACACGGTACATTTTTGGCTTAGCAGCAGACTGATTAACAAGTAAAATTGCCCTGATATATGATACATTTTTTTGGATCACATAATAGGTTTTCCTTGCCAGAAGTATTGGTGAATCACACGATCAACCAGCAATCCCAAACAACTAGAAAACAATTTAACCATTAAAATTGTATTCACTACATGTTGTACACAAAACAAAAATATATGTACCTTCAGAAAGTGACAATTCTCCATGACACCAGGTGTTAAATGTATTTATTTGTGCTCCTATTGCTACAACCCAAAAAGTCATAATCCAAAAAAATTCATCATTTCCCACCAAGTTGTCAATGTTGGACCAACATAAAACCTGTTTCTTTGCAGAGTCGATCTTCAGGCATTCTGCCTCCCAAAATTTAATTTCTCCCTTTCTCTGCAATAAGACATAAACGACAAATTTTATTATTAATTGTCTGGTGAAAATGTCCTCGTAAAAGAATGAAAAGAGGTGTAACAATCTCAATAAAATCATGGTCGTTACATAGCAATCCAACTTTGTAAGTTGACCTCATAGAAAAATACTAGTGTCGCTGGATTTCTCATTATATTACAATTTTATGCACTTGTGTGATCATTGTTATGAAGAAAAGATAAACTAACATATACATAGTCCATTCTATTTCTTAGAGCTTCCGCTTCGTTTTCTTTACCTTTTTTATCATGTTTCTGACTGGCTCCACAATGCTCCTAGCTTCCACTGTCCCACGAGTGACACTGGGTAATAAAGGCGTGAATGCAAAGTAGTTACGTGGGCAAACAACCTGAACATCGTATAAGGCAGCATCGAGATCCTTAAGGAAACTGGTAGCAGCCCATCCTGTTCCAAGAACCACCACTCTCTTTTTCTTGGGCTTATTAGTATCAACTCTAGGAGCATGAGATTTGGCATCAGATCGTGATTCTGAGTATGACACCACTCCTCCACCACTGCAATTTTCCTGTGCAGGCAAAATCAGGAAACAAAAAGAAGCAAGAGAGACATTAATGAATACAGTGCATAATAGATAAATAGCATGTATGATTGTTCCATCTTTAGAAATACCATAGACAGAAAGTTCAAACACCATACTTATGGAAGATAAAATGAAATAAAATTTCTCTCGTAAATTAAACTAGCTTACAGTCAGTTTTACCTCCTATTTGCTTTCCCTGTAAATACTTACCCAAAAATCCATCTTCACAATACTCAAAAGTTCTCAAAATTATTTTCAAATCCTATATTACAATTCTCCACATCAGAAATTATATCTTTTACTTCTGCATTTTATCAACACAAACTAACAAACATCACTCTCACCTAATTTACTCATATATATGCTAATTTATAAACATGACCACTACCACACACACACGTTTATAATATACATATATCATGTTAACCATCGTATAAACAAATTCCATTTCGTTGAAAAAAATGACAATATAAAACTTATTGATTTATAATGATAATTAACCTTAGAGTGCATAGGAGAACAAGTTTGTACCATGAAGGGAAGTTGTGGAAAGCGTTGAAGATAGAAGCAACCTTCATTGGTGGACTCGTGATAAATCACAGGCAAAGAGGAAAATATTTGGGAGCTTCAACTTCTAAACTGTGAATTTCCGTTACAACCTCACAGATTCAGTTGTCTTCCTTACACTTGGACAGTTGTTATTAAACGACAACGTTAAGACGTGGAATTATGGAATTTCAGTTCTTCATGAACGAATAAAAACACTGCACTTTAATAACAGCAATTTCCTGCTCAATCAAAATGGCCTTTTACATAGGAACATGTTCCTCCATATTACATATAATATAGAATTTGTTTGAACAAAATTTTCCATAAACATACGCAGAAAAAAAAAAATATATATATATATATATAAAATATTGTATATAAATTAAAACTAGTTTATAAATTTGATTTCTAGAAGTTTCCTGATGTATATTTTTGGTAAGTGGACCAAAATTGAATATTTGTTGAATACCAAATCATTCATTTTTCCTAAATTTAAGTAATCAAAATTTTTCCTAAGTTTGAGTAATCAAAGTTTAAAAGAATGAGAATAGAAAAGTTAATTTTTTTTGTAGTAAAATATATATTAAAGGATTAATTTCATATCCCTTCTTATAAATTCCTAGCCTATTTAATTGATGTAAGAATTAAATTTACCCACTAGAGTTAAAAGTGTTATTCACTTCCTAATCCTTTAAGTAAGTAAAATTATTCACTAAACTTTTAATTTCTCAATTCCTTGGAAGAAGAAAAATTCACTAAAATTTGAATGGTTAATATTTTGTTCCACATAAACTAGTTAAGTTTGTATAATTTTCCAATTAAGCAAAAACTCAACTTACCTTATCTATCAACATAAACAGCTTTAATTTTTCCATATATAACTGCTTAAAATTAAAGATAAAAAATTATAAATAAAGTACTTGAATTAAATGAAATTACAATGCATCAAGATAAATAGGTTCATAATTTGTCTTACAAAATATTATATTAATCTTCTAACATAGGAAAAAAGTTTAGTCTTCCATCAAAGTTTCTAAAAACTCAAAACCTAAAAAAACTTCTACGCTATTTCCTTCTTCCATGCCCCCGTTTCTTCTCTGTCTTCAGCTTTTTAACTCCATTAACAAACTTTCCACGTTAGCCCTCGTTTCTACTATAATTGTCTTTTCCTTTTTCAGCCCAAGTCCAATAGCAAAGAAAATTAAGAATTTCACTGACAGCCTACGAGGGATGTCAATCACGCAAGCCCACACCAAAATTGTTCTAATTGCACCTATATTTAACAAAACACAGAGACTGCACTACAAGTTAAATGCAAAAGTAATATATAAAAACATTGTTCAACTGTTACAAAAAATATATGCAATTAACCTAATTTAATTTATAAATATGAGGTAAAATAAACATGCATCATTTCCTATATAACTTTTTGAGCTTGTTAATTTATACATAAACTAATTTTAATTTATAAATAAATTTATTTTATTTTATTTTATTTACACATAATCTCTTTCTTATCAAGTTCCCTTCAAAATGGTTGAATTTGCAAAAGTTGCTCTTATTATTTTAAAATAATTTTATTTTTATTTTATATTTATTAGGATAATATTGTTTTGATTAATTATTAGTTACAAAGTATTATTCGTTATTTTTCTCTCTCACGTTCTTTTAAAAGTTAAAAAAAAAATACTATAGAAGAATTTATAAAAAATCAAATTGTGTTTTATTCTTAAGTTATTTTTAATCTTAAGTTATTTTTAATTTTAAAAAATAAAACATTGTAGATGAATTTTTAAAAATTTTAAAAGATAAAACATTCTAGGTGAATAGAAGAAGATCAATCATACAATTTAATCTTATTAAAAGCATTAAAAAATTATTTTTTTTATTTTGTAAAATAAGACCTAAGACATAAAAACAGATACAAATATATTATTAATTTTGAAAGATATATTAAAATTTGAAAACATGAGAATAAGTTATTTGCACAAAGAAGAAAAATAAAAATAATAAGTCTCCCAAACGGTCAAACGGAACACACTGTATTGCTCTCAAACGTTGGAATCTAAGAGAGAGAGAATAATTAGGGTTTGGTGCGCCTATATATATAACACCATATGCAAGATCAATTACCATGTAGTGCAGTATAAGGCTCGGCGATGGCTGCCATTGTTTTAAAATTTAGGTTCAAGTGTAGTTTTTAGGTTTCAAAATTTTCCTCTATTTCGTTTAATTCTCCGCACGATGTCTCCCGGGCTTCTCTGATTAATCCGTGACGTGAAAGCCCCAATACACGTGCCAAATCGTTGCCGTTCGTGTTGCAGTTTTGTCCCAATTTTTTGGCTAATCTGTGTCTAAACAACGGCAAAATTTTATGTCTTTCAATTTTTCAGTTCTTCGTGTTCTACATTTCGTTTGTGGATTTGGCGCCTCACTACACCTTTGGCTTGTTTTCTGAATGTGCCGTGAAAATAAAGCTAGTCACAGAGGCGCAAATTGAATCGGTGGTTTTTCACGTGGGGGCTTTAACTTTTCAATGTTTGTGCCTCTAAAATTGTCCATCACATTAGGGTTTCAAATTTAGATTTGTCAGTTTGATTGTCGGCAATGATTGCATATTATCCGCGCTTCTGAGTTTCATCGATGAAGCATAATCGATTAAATGGTTGAATTTCTTTATATGAGCCGTGATTTGATTTACATTTGTCCAAAAAACGTAAATACTTGGTCTAACGTGTTTTATTTATTTGAACTTTTGGTGTAACGTTGGCTATGAGGATTATCATTCAGCTTTAAATGCCAGTTCTGCTTCTGAGAAATTGTGATTGATAGAGCTGTGATTTGTTCTGAGCCTCTCTATTCATGAAGTTGTGTGAAGAAATTTATCAATCTGTGGGTTGATGCATGTATTCTCGACATTCTTTTTATTGCAAAATTTTACATTTCGTATTAAAATGGGTAATCATGGGTTTTAACATTGTTTTAATATTTTCATGTTGGAATAACCTGTTTTGATTTTAGTTCGACTTTGTTTGTTTCAATTATTCTTTGGTTCTCAACCAATGATGATTGTTACAATCCAACTTGTCTGAGGCTGTAGCTTGGCCAAGTCCCTTTTCTAAGGGAGAACCTATTTGGTCTTGCTGCATTTCCTATGACAGCAACAATAATCTGAGGTTCTGTATGTAATGTTTTGTTCACTGTAGTTTTCTCTGTATTTGAGTATGAGTGAGTTTAACATTTTGTTAATTTGAGTTTATTTTTGTGTATTTACGTTTCCGTTTTATTACGCTCACCAGTAAGTTCTTTCTCAAGCTTCCTCTGTTGTGTAAACCGCGAAATTGTAGATTTCTGAAGGGCACTGTATGCTTTCTGAAAAGCATGGGTTGAATTATTGGTTAATCCTCAACCTTTTCCATTTACTGTGGATTCTAAATATAGTCCCTTAGATGCTAGGAGTAATGCGTGTGTGCCATTTTGATTGAGTTTGTACCATTTTCTGAACAATTTTTCTTCTTAAATTCTGGATATAATTCATATGCTGCTGTTAACCGTTTTGAAATGCAGCAATATCAATATGAAGTCACATAATGAATATATCTTAGTTCGAGATTAAAATACTTACAATCGTCTTATACTATGACATGAATTTTAAATTATAAGTACGAACCTAGTGGAGGTCCCAGAAGTTGCCTGGTGTTGATTGCTGATATTATAATTAAAAATGAGCATCTTGTTAAGAATAATCGTGTACAATTGCCATAAATTCAAACTCGCTGTTTACATAAATTAGAAAGGTTAACTTAAGTGTATATGAATGCTAGATGAGTGATCACAAATATACATCAAATGTTCATTTCGTCACAAAATTAATCTTAGACATGGGAAATTTTGCAATTATCTATGGCTGAAAGCTACTGCCTGAGAGTGTAGAAGAACTAGAAGGTCATACTAAGGCAACTAATTTTTAAAACTAACATGATTCTTTATTAAAAAATTCATAAACTTAAATAAAAATCTTTTTAAATTAAAATTAACTAAATCAAAACTAATTTCTACAACTCTAACTCCTCTAAACTATTATATTTAATTTATGAAAAGTGTCCAATTATGTATTAAAAGCCTATTTTTAATGTACAAATTTTTTTGTTTTTCTTTTATAATTTGTCTTTGTTTATATATTTTTAAATTTTTGATATTTTAATTTTTTTAAATATTATTTTAGATTTTTATATTTAAAATTAATATATATTTATGATTTTTTATTTAACACAATTGATAAAATTATTAAATATATTTTTAATTGTTTTTTATATCTAATTTTGGTATTTAGTAAAAAAAACTACTTTTATAAAGTTGATAAAAAGATTAAATTTATATATTGTTAATTTTTAAAATATAAAAGATAAATAATTTTCATCTTAAATACAAGAAAAATATTTTTAATCTTATTATTAATGTATTAAGCCATTGATAATTTAATAAATTGTTTAATTTTGGATTATAAGTACTATTTCCTTTCTATAAAGAAATTGTTACCCTAATCAATTTCTTAAATAATGTTTAAAACAAAAATTTACAAGGAGAATCTTTTTAACCTTAAAATTTATTTATTCAGTTAGCCATGTTAACAAAATTCAGTAATAGAAAATAAATTCTTCTTATATAAAACAGGTATTTTGTTCTCTTTTCTTATTAATTCTTCTTGTAAGAAGGTATTTTATTTTATTTTATTCATTTACTTCTCGTATTCTTTTCTTTTCTCTATCCTCTTATTTGTTTTTTCTTCACTTATCATATTCTTTTAACTAAAAATATTAAATTAAAATTTGATTATTTTTTTATATTTTAAAAAATATATATTTAAATTATAAAAAAGGTTATAATTTAATATATTATATTTTAAAAATATTATATTATAAATTTAAGGTATTACAAATTATTATGTTATAAAAGGAAATTATATACATGTCTCTCCTTATAAGAAAAAATTATATATAAATTTTTTGAAATCATATTAAGTTGAGTTATGAATATTAGTTATATTAAGTAATTTAAAAAATATATTTATTAAAAAGTTGATTTAAAATAAATATTTAATTTATCTTAATAATTATAATATATTAAATTATAATATTTTTGGATGATTTAAATATTTTTTTTTTAAATAAAATAAATTTATCAAAATTTAATTTAATATTTTTAATTAGAAGAATAAGATGAATGATAACAAAAGAGGAAGAAAAAATAGAATAAAAGAAAAAAATAAATAAATAAAAAGAGAAAAAAAAAAGTAAAATAATAAATGAAAAGAGAGAATAAAATACTTAGGTCAGATAAAATTATTTTTATTATTGAATTTTGTATATAAATAATAAATAGGGTAAATAAACTTATAAAAATTTTATGTAGATAATTTTTTATTTTAAATATATTATTTAAGAAATTAATTCTTGTTTTACAGAGAGTAAGGATAATTCCAATTACAAAGAAATTGTCAATGTTACTATTAAATTTTCACTCTCTTTTTTTCTAATATTGAGTTTTTTCTATTGAACATTTAATTACTAGGTAATATACCATTTCCATAAACTACCATTGATACTGGAATGATTTCATTTTCAAGTTTCAACATCAACTAAAACGTTACATTTTTTAAAATAGATTCTCTACTTCTGTTGAAAACTAAGCTTCGTTCATATTTGCAATTTTGCGTGTTAAACTAAAAAATATTTTGTGCAACTGACTTATCAAATGTAAATTAAGTGTGAACTGTAAATTGTCCAATTCCCAAATATTGCCCTCATAATGATGGAAGAACCAAACCAAGTAAATTTGCTAAAACCAAGATAGAGATCTTAGTACAAAAACTTATCAAGTGTACAATGTTTTGCACTTATTTTTTATTATGTCGTCTTCTATAGTCCACCACAAACTAAAATTCTATTTAATCAACAGAGATAATATATCTTTTTAATACACTTTTTTAACATACTATCTTTCAATTTTTAAATAAAAGTATTTAATTTTTCATTATGTTTATTAAAAGTTGTATCCAAACATAAAATATTTTTAAAATAATACCGTGAACAAAGTTAAGTTAGTTAAAATTTATTCATATTTGAATCCATTAAATATGAGTAATTAACCAATATTTTTTAACTTCTAGTGGGTGCATATCAAATAATTAAAGTTTTTATAGGAAAAACATAACTTATTAAAATAATTATTCTCTCTTGATATATGATATGCATTGTTGTTATAGTATATATATATATATATATATATATATATATATATATATATATATATATATATATATATATATTTGTTTGTTTAGAGATTACTTAAGAATAAAATAATTAATACTTTAAACAAAAAAGATTTCAATCAATTTAATTCAGCTTTAAGAATTAAAACTTATGAATTTTGTCTCTGGCAAGTGAGTGATTTTATTGTGTTTGAGAAGACAAGGCAAAATTGAGAACCGACCATTCTTGATATGACTCAAATGGGCAGTCGAAATCAAATCTCATAATTAAAAGTTGACATGGCACGATCAGGACCGTTTGTCAGTGTCCCAGAAAATGAAATGCCAAAACATCATCGTGCCATGAAAAACCGCTTCCATTTCCTTTTTCCTAATCTCTATCTATTCTATTCCTCTTTGTGCTCACTGTAGTGCTCAAGCACTTCACCAGCGCTTGCCAGGAGAGCAAAAACCATATATTTATCCGAAATCCAAATCTTTTCACTTCTATGATTCCAAATCCGGAGACTCCAGATCTTGGGTATAGCTGCTGATCTGTAAATCTTTTTTTCTGTTTTTCCCTGAACATTACTTACCCGGAAAACGGTTTCCGGGGAAAGAAGAGAAAGAAGGGTGCAATTGGGGTTTGGAGAAAGTTGGAAGATGCGGCGAAGAGGGACGGATTTTCGCAGGCCAGTGCGAAGGAAGGTTCCAGATGCGTTGTGGTGGGCATTGTGCTGTGCAGTGATTCTTCTCTTTGTCTATATTCTTAGCAAAGGGAACAGAATTGAGTCCAGACCCGCTTTGTCCAAGGTAATGTTGTTTCCCAATTGGTTTTGTTTTCGTAGATTTGTCCTTTTCGGGTGCTGGAAAGTGTGTGTGAAAATAATGAAAATGCTTTTTAATATTAAATTTTGAATTTTTAGCTTAGGCTTCTGAGGCTTCAACTTCTGTTAGGTTGATTAGATTATAGGAGTGAAGGTTGGGTGGTCTATAAACTAGTGATTTGTTTTGTTTTTGTTCATGTGATGTTGGGAACTGATTTTTTGTTGTGCCATTTATTTATTTAGGAGATTGTGTGAATTGGCTTTTTCCACTGTTTTGCTTTGGATTTTTTCCCCCTCAGGGTTGTGAAAAGGGGGTTGTTTCATAGTATGGTCATTTGTAATTTTTAATACTTTTTTTTACATCACTCAGAACTCGAATGCTTAACAATTTGGAATAGCACTATAGCAGTGTCATGCTAGATCTGATGTTTTAAAATGCTGATTTTGATTAAACATGAACAAATTCAACGCTTGCACTAACCGTCTTTATTTAGTCTATAAGATAACTCAGGTCGATTTTGCGAATTCATTGGATTCTAATCCATACCTACTATGTCACATTGTTATAATGTTTAAAATTACTACAATTGTATGGAGGAGAACTTGAATCTTGTTTTTGCAATAGGCATATAATATTACAGAGAAAAAACACTATTCCTATTCACTCTCTCCATGATAACAAATTTACAAACTTAACTTCATTATCATTAATTCATTTATGTATCTACCACCGTAGGGTATAAATGATAAAATGATAACTATGTTATGTTGAAAAACTAAAATGACACTTATTTTAAAACTTCTATTCTTCCATGAACTTATATTGAGATGGATAGAGGATTATACCATTTTTTTCTGATATTGGAACTATAACTGAATTGCCAATTTTTTTCTGATATTGGAACTGTAACTGAATTGTCAATTTTTTTCTAAAAGGATCATGCATGGATCATAAGAACAATACTTGACATGCTTGATTTTGTATTATAAAGAATATAATATTATTAGTATTGGGGAGTGTGGGTGTAGATTAGGTCCTTCTTGTCCTTTTTTATCTAATCGCTTTGAATCCTGCTGTACAGAGAACTTACAAGCATGATAAGATTATGGAAGGCCTTAATATTACTGAAGAGATGTTAAACACTAACTCAGTTACGAGACAACTCAATGATCAGATATCTCTGGCAAAAGCTTTTGTTGTAATTGCAAAGGAGAGTAACAATCTCCAATTTGCTTGGGAATTAAGTGCCCAGATCCACAATTCACAGATGCTCCTCTCAAATGCTGCCACTAGGCGTGTTCCTTTGACAACTAGGGAAACAGAAAGGGCTATCCGTGATATGGCATTGTTGTTATACCAAGCCCAGCAGCTCCATTATGATAGTGCAACCATGATCATGAGATTCAAAGCAAAAATTCAAGCCCTCGAGGAACAGATGAATTCTGTTACCGAAAAGAGTTCCAAATATGGGCAAATAGCTGCTGAAGAAGTCCCAAAAAGTCTCTACTGTCTTGGTGTTCGGTTGACAACAGAATGGTTCAGAAACTTTAATTTCCAAAAGAAGCTGAAGGACAAAAGGCAAATGGAGATGAAGCTCAAGGATAACAATCTTTACCACTTTTGTGTTTTCTCGGATAACATTCTTGCGACTTCAGTTGTGGTCAATTCAACTGCAATGAATTCTAAAAATCCCAATATGATCGTTTTCCACCTTGTCACTGATGAAATAAACTATGCAGCGATGAAGGCATGGTTTTCCATGAATGATTTCCATGGGGTGACTGTGGAAGTTCAGAAGTTTGAAGACTTTACATGGTTAAATGCTTCATATGTTCCTGTGCTTAAGCAACTTCAAGACTCGGAAATACAGAGCTACTACTTTTCTGGCAACAGCGATGATGGAAGAACACCTATCAAGTTTCGTAACCCTAAATATTTATCCATGCTTAATCACCTGAGGTTCTACATACCAGAAGTTTTTCCTGCACTTGAGAAGGTGGTGTTCCTGGATGATGATGTTGTGGTTCAGAAGGATCTTTCTGGTCTTTTTTCCATTGATTTGAATGGGAATGTAAATGGAGCTGTTGAAACATGCATGGAGACATTTCACAGATACCATAAATATTTGAACTACTCTCATCCTCTTATTCACACACAATTTGACCCTGATGCTTGTGGATGGGCATTTGGGATGAATGTATTTGATTTGGTTGAATGGAGGAAAAAAAACGTAACCGGCATCTACCACTATTGGCAGGAAAAGAACGTAGACCGGACATTGTGGAAACTTGGTACCTTGCCGCCTGGACTGTTGACATTTTATGGATTAACTGAGCCCCTGGATCCATCATGGCACGTTTTGGGTTTTGGCTACACCAATGTTGATCCTCAGTTGATAGAGAGGGGAGCTGTGCTTCACTTCAATGGAAATTCCAAACCATGGTTGAAGATTGGGATTGAGAAGTACAAGCCCCTATGGGAAAAATATGTTGAATACTCTCATCCTTTACTTCAACGGTGTAACTTCCACTGATTTTGAATTTTGTTTAAATTGATTCTTCAGACCTTGGTGGAAGATTCAGATTCAGAATTACTTGCCTCAGTTGGTGGAGCAGGAGATTATATGATTGGCTGTTTGTGGAATTGGTATGCTTGGTGATCCTTACTGGATGACCACATTCAGGTCTTAATTTGTTGTCAGAAATGCTTGTACAATTTTGAAATGTCAAACATATCTGGTGGCTTTAAATTGGTGTCTTCATTGAATCTGGATCTTCTGTTGTAGCATATACACGTTCGTCTGTCAAGTAGTAGTAGATTCTATCAGTTCGGTTTCTAATTGCAGTCAAGGATGAGATCAGTTGCAAACCTTTTATTGTTCACGTTCCTTGCAAGACCAGATGTTCTTTCCTGTGTCATTCATTTGCTGAAACTTCAATCTTTTATTCTTGATGCTACTTTTTCAAAAGAAATTAGTGTGATTTAGAGTTATCAACTCCTCATGTATATCTCAAAAAACAAAACTTCTCACCTGTAACAAAAACTACCTATCTAGTTTATTTATTCAAGAAGCAGATATTCCAGCTGCGTTTTTTGTTATGCATGTGGAGAATGTTTGTCTCATCATCATATGCATCATATGCTTGTATACAAGTGTGTTACGTAGTTTGTATCTTATATATCAATAGTCTAAAGAATATCCAAAGCTATTAGTCCAAGGATGCATTAACATGGTAACAAGGTTTTTAACTCACATCTACGGTAAAAAAAAAAAAATTGAGAAAAGAGGTGCGAAATTTACAATAAACAAAAAAAAAAAAAAAAAAAAAACTTTTACCATGAGAAGTGCTAGATCTCTCTCTAAACACAAAGAAATAACACTCAATCTGGACACTGGTTCAGCATAGTATGATGTAATTAAGGCATTTTAATAACGGTTAATGTTTTACTTTTTAAATTTTTGGTTGACTAGTTATTAATTTATGATTATATTAATGAAATATTTTAATAAATATTATACCTTTCATGCATTTAATTAAGAACAAAAAAATTTCATTTCTAAATGAAAAGTTGATGGAAGGAAGAGTGATATACATAGCATTAGCTACTTTTTCGTGAATTAAAATTACATTTTACGATGATTTCATTTTTTCCATATTCTTTATTTCACAGGGAGACTCAGAAGTTGCGGAGTTTTGGTTTAATATTGAAAACAAGCTATAATTCTTATCTCCAGTAATTATATCACAGCACAAAATTAGTTCACGGGTTGTTTTGAACAAGAACACTCTTTATTTATTTATTTTCTTATAGTCCATTTCATATTCAGTTAAGGGACAGCAAAGTTATGAATAAGAACTAGCAACGAAAGAACAACAAAATTGCATCTATGGCTTTTGGATTATATATTTGGTCAAAGGGAATAAATTTGCACAGCATATATATTTATCTCATTAATTTTAAACGCAGGATTTTGCTCTCATCTACATCTTCAAAGGTAACTCTACCATTTCCAACATTTCTCTTTCAAACTCAACTTCTATAGGAAAGAAAAGTGTCACAGATTTTTTAAATATGATTGTATTATTTCCATAAACAGCATTCTCGTATACCTATCTATCTATCTTAAATAATATAACTGATCCGGGTAGCATTACCAAGAAAACGTGCTCACATCACACGAACCTTGCCCTTCGAATCAATTTCGCATTTAGCAACAAATTAAATTAAAAAAATAGTGCAATGCAGCCAAACAGAAAGTGTGAGAAAATTAAGGCCATTTGAACTTGGAAGAAATTTCAAACATGTGGCACTAATACATGCATTCTTCACTCAAACAGAAAGAACCGAATTCTTGGCAATGATTTTCAACTTCCATCCCTGTCTCCACCTGCCAAACGTAAACAGTTGGCTAAAGGTAAAAATCAAAAGGGCATTCTGGTAATTTCAGCCATGCCGGCTGAGCGTGATTAATATTTCACTGCCATTTTTAAGTGTCAACTCTTACATACTTACATGCAACTCAAAAGAAAGACACGCGCCGAGGTTTCAACCTCCAACATTCTCTGTCCCATGAAAACGCCGAACGGTTCACCGGTTTCTAGTCCGTCTCCGAAACCTCGTCATCTTCGTAACCGCGAATTAAGTTCACGGTTTCTCCCTTCACCTCCGAACTCAACCACACACTCCGCTGAATGCCACTCCCCCGTCCGCCGCAAATCCCCGAGCCCAAACCGGCGCCACGCCGTCACCGAGGACCCGGGTTCCACGCGCCACCAACTATGGCCTTCCTCTGCGGCGGCGAAGAGAAACTCCGGCACTCTCGCCGACCACATCACCGAAGACAGAATCATAGAGCGCACAACTAATACACCCATCATCACGGGTGGCTCCGCGAGACACGTCGCGAAATTAGTAACACGCTCAGAATCACCATTTTCTAAGAAACCCATTTACAGCAACATTGCTCCGGGAAGATTGTCACTGGATGAGAACGCTAAGTCCTTCTCTTCGCGGAGACACTCTTGTTCTTCTAGAAACTCTCTCGATTCGGAACCTGACGCGGGAAAAACAACGCCGAGAAAACCTGACATGGAGGTTGAACCTTCGAATGAAGCAACAACAACGTTGAGAAAGCCTCGAAGGGGAACTTCGGATTCCAATATAGCGAACTTGAACGGAAACTCCCCTGTTACGAAACGGTTCACGTTGAAAACGGCTATTAGAAGGGCTAATTCGCTTGCTGGATCGTACAAGAGTTCGAAGTCTTCGTGGGCTTTGTCTCCTGGGAGAGCGGAGTCGCCGGCTATGTCGGTTGAGAGCATGGATAAACCGATGTCGTTTTCGGGCTTCCAGCACCGTGCTACTAGTCCTACTAACAAGGTGAAAGGCGTAGAGAAGTTTCTCAGCATGGGTTTTGATCTCTTTAAGAGTAAGAAAAATGGTGGGCTTGGGTCTCTTTCGCCCATTGGTTTTGCTGTTAACTCGGAGGTTGTTCATAAGCTTCGTTTGTTTGATAATCTGTTGATTCAATGGCGGTTTGCAAATGCTAGAGCCCAGGTTGTGAATGGAAACATTTTTCACAAGGCTGAGGTATGTATTTATGCCTCGTACTTTACTATAATTTCCTTTAACATGATCTAATAATTAGCGAATGAGAAATGGTGGACTCATGACATCCTCATTGGTGAATATGTTCAGAGCAATTTGATATGTGTTTGGGATGCTCTCACAAAGTTACAGCGTTCTGTTCTGAAAAAGAAGATACAATTTATCAGAGAAAAACTTGAAATGAAGATTGCTTTTGTTCTGTATTCTCAGGTCAGTAGTAAATCTCACTTTATCAAGCTTTGTTGAACATATATATTATTTCAAAGGTTTTATTTTCCAAGTTATATTTTGATGTTTATGCAGATGAAGTTATTGGAAACTTGGGTAGGTATGGAAAGACAACACTCACAAGCAATTACTGCCATCAAAGAGTGTTTGCATTCGGTTGTTTGCAGAGTTCCTCTTTTGGAAGGTGCTAGGGTATGTAACTAGGTACAATAGAAAGTAGAAAACATTTACCATGTCAGAAATGATAGGAAAAGTGTGTTGACTGAATTAAATCTTATGCCAACAGGTGAATATGCAATCAACATCTATTGCTCTACGCCATGCAACTGATCTCACAGCTTCCATCAAGTCAATTTTAACTACTTTTTCATCTTCTGTATGTTTATAATTTGTTAACACTGTGCTATTTAGTCCTGTTATTATCTCTGAGGAATTGAATTGAAATCCTATATTGCTTCATCAGGAGGTTGATAAGATTGCTACAATGCTATCAGAATTAGCAAAAGTTGTAGCACAAGAGAAACAGCTCTTAGAAGAGTTCTATGATCTTTTCCAGGCCATATATGTCTTTGAGGTAACTAAGTTTGACACACGACTAACAGAAGAGAAAGTTAATTAAGCTCTCATAGTTCCATTTAAGTAATCAAATTTTCATCCAATGCAGTAATATGTAGTCGTAACCGTAACTTTTATGCACAATAACCGCATCAATGTAATAACTTAGTATATTATCCAAATATTCTACCACAAAGCCAATCCATTTTTTTGGTTTATTTATCGTTAATTTTATCTAATATATGTGTTGGCAGGTTCAAGAAAGAAGTGTGAAGTGCAATCTTGTTCAACTAGAAGGTTGGCAACAAAAATATCAACTGCAACAATTACTACCAGAGATTACTTCATGGATCTCTATTTAGATAATGGACGTTTCAGAGAAATATCCAAGTTTTGATTGACAAATCTGCTAATAGTACAACTGTTTACATGGTCCACCACTATAATTGTTATTCTTTAAACGAGCATGCACGATTAGTTTACATGTAACAGTGTTCCTTCATAACAGCAATATACCAAATTCATAATGCATTCTGATTAATGATATTTTCCTTGTAAAAAATTCTCACATTACATTTTTTTTGTCCTTTATCTTTTCTTCGATCACTTTATTTCTCTTAGTCTGCAGTTATCGTATCTCTATCTCTTTTTTCTTTTAAAATGTGTTGTGAATATTATTATTAGTGTAATTTTTTTTTATTTACTTAAAAGTGCATAAAAATTGGAATCGTGGCATTAAACTAAATCCATATAATATATATGAACATAAGTAATTTCGTAAAAATAGTTTATATCAACGTTTATTATTCAGTTCTACTCTAATAAATATAAGTAATATTTTCGTTGTAAATATTTACAGTATGAAGTAGATATCAACAACATCATTTAAACTTTTCATCCTCCTATTTCGAATTCGGTGCCACAGCAGATCTGAGCCCATTGGGCTAGCAAGTTGGTCTGTTTTCCACATTTTATTAGCCCACGACCACTTGCTCCCAAATTCTACAAAAAAAAAAAAAAAAGACATTTCTTTGGTTCTATGGCCGAAAGAAAAATGAAAATTCTTTATTTCTAAGGTTCTCAATGCCGTGACCTGAGACTCGAGGTTCCTTTGTTTCGTCCCCAGGCTTAAACCGAAAATGGGTATTTTAACCCTTTTTTTATTGCATTTTTTCCTTGTTTTGTCCACTTTGGTTTGATTAGTATATTTATCTTGTTTGGTCAGTAAAACACTAAATCTCCATCAACTATCATTTGGGTGTACCATCCTGAGATTTTAACGCATTTTAGCATTTTCTGTGTTGGAGATTACCATATTCACCAAAACTACCTTCTATATGTGTCTTCGCTCTCCAATTTCATGAGTCATGCTTAAAAAAATAAATAAATAAGTATTAATTAAAAAAATTTGAGATAAGGTTTTGTTTTTGTTGTTGGGCTTGTGGTGGAAAATGGATTGCGGGGACATGTTTTAAGGTAAGTGATTTTTGTTGTTTCACTCAGTGACTCCCACCCACGTAGGTGGTGAATGTTGATTGTAAAGAAACATGTTCAAGTCCATTGTGGGTTGCTGCAAGGTGTACATATCAGAGAGCAGGAACAGAATTGCATTGGAATCAATAGAACGAGCTTCCAAGCTTTTCCCTTTGGCTCCCATAATCAACAAGTTCGAGGATGTGGCCTACAACAGAGTTGGCTACACCCTTGTCTCTGAATTGAGTCTTGCAGGGCCATCTCACCTGGCAAATGCTGTGTTAGCAATGGTGAAGGCTGCCTTTGACACCATTGACTTTGAGGTGCACTCTGGAACTCATCCTCGACTTGGTGTTGTGGACCACATTTGTTTTCACCCCTTGCTTGATGCTTCCTTGGATCAAGCAGCTACCACTGCTAGGTGTTTAGCCACGGAGATGGGTTCTAATCTTCAAGGTTAGTAGTTTGTAATGTATGGGTTGAGGGTCTTCAATTTTATTAACTTGTGTTACGCTGAATCAGAAGTTTGTATACACTATTAGCATTTTAAAAGATTAAAAGGTAATGTGCAGATGCTTAACAGGGTTATGTTAGATGTTGAACAATGTTTACTTAATTTAGAGTACAAGAAATTATCTGCAACAGCTATAAAGAAGAAAAAAGAATGTACACAGATAAAATTCTTAACGGGAACTGAAAAAAATTCTAGCAGAAGCAAATTAACTATATCAAAAATTTGTTACAAGAGAGATACTATAAGAACTGTTGTAGGGTTATGGTGTCTAACTTTCTGTAATGTAGAAGTCGTAGAGACCAAAGCTTTCTTTCATAGAAGACATTTATGTCAAAGTCGGATTAGATCAATGAGGAAAAAATCATTCCTCTAAATATTTAATACCACTAGAATGATAATATCTAAGACTTGAACTCGAGAGACTGACTAAACTAGAATAACTATGAATCAATTCAGGCACTAGATGGTGTAGGTTGTAGAGTCTAATTGACTGTTTAGAGAACTCACCAGCTCTTATATTTTTTGCATACAGAACCTTTGCCCAAAATATATAGGAGTCCACCACATCCCAAACGCATTATATGGTAGGTTCTGATATCATATCAACTCTACACTTCTGCTATCACCATAGACAAAACATTTCTCAAAGATATTTCTTTACTAAATTGGTGGCTTAGGCATTACAGACTTTCAGACTGTGCCAAAAATTTGGATCACCAACTCTAACATACTGTTAATCTTCGAGATTTTATACATGGTAAAATCAAATAACTGCTTCAGTTTTATGCAGAAATAAACTTCTTGATCCCCATTCTGTTTTAATGTTGGTTAACAATCATGCCTTCATGGTTAAGTCTTCTTAGCTCCTAAGTTTCATTTGGTTTGGATATTTCCTTGTTTGTACATGATTTGTCTCGTAAGTACCAATTTACATGTTGATAAGGTGACCATAGAACTGCTAATCATCTTTTTAAATTAATATGTTTGCATGTCAATATCCACTAAAATTATGTGCAGTTCCCACGTATCTATATGGAGCGGCACATGAAGAGGGGAGGACACTTGATTCAATCAGAAGAGTATTTGGTTATTTTAAACCAAATTCTAGCGAAAATCAGTGGACTGGGGGACTAAAATCAGACTCTTTGCCACTGAATCCTGAGAGTGGTCCCTCTCAAGTTACCCCAGCAAAAGGTGTTGTGGTCATTGGAGCAACCAATTGGGTTGATAACTACAATGTCCCTCTATTGTCTTCTGATATTAATGCTGTTCGGAGAATTGCAAAACGGGTTAGTGGAAGAGGTGGTGGACTTCCCTCTGTACAGGCCATGGCACTTGCACATGGTGAAGGTGTCGTTGAGGTAGCCTGTAATTTGTTGGATCCAAATAAAGTTGGTGGTGAACGAGTACAAGAAGAAGTTGAGAGCCTAGCAAGGGAAGAAGGTATTTCAGTGGGGAGGGGATACTACACAGACTTTTCACAGGATCAAATAATTTCAAGTTACATGAAGTTGTTTGAAGAGAGAATTTGAGGTCATACAGTCCTTGTTTTTGGCATATAAATCTATTCTCACCAAGGAAAGTTACTTTCTCATGCAATACCCGCTGGTGAATTTTCTTCTCAAGTCAAAGTTAACTTGGCGTTTCTATAGAAAATAAAAAATAAAAAAAATTATGGAAGAATTTTTCAAGCAATTGTTCATCCTTAATTTGTTTTCGAGAGATACTAAACTGAAGTGGATGAAAGGCTTATCCTGTGTTCTCATGATCGATTTCCGCATTATTAAAATAGTGTTTTGGTATCTCTTCTATTTGGTAGAACTTTTTGTCCAGTAGGTGATAATTAAAAATGTCAATATTATTTTATGTTTATGTTTATTCTTATTTTTAGTTTGGTTCAAGTTTTCATCTTTTCTTCATTCTTCTTCATTGTTTTTCTTTATATTGGTTGATTTTTCTACTTTAGTTAAGTAAACAGTAAAAGACAAACATAATAATAGAAAAAAAAAATAGTTTTAACTTTACGTTTCATCTTCTAGAATTCCATATATTCACACCAATATCTAAACTTATGAAACATTAAAAGGTTTCATGACAAGTTCTTCCATGCTCATATTTGCATATAATTGTTATATGCTCTAATAGATATTTCAAGCTAATTCATATTAAATATTTTTCATCTCCTCTTATCCACACTCTACAGAAGAATCTTTAATGTAATTTTAGTACTTATGAATTTGATGTAAGCAAATATTGATAAAGACTAATCCTTGAAGTACAAGTACTCCGGTGGACCAATGTATATAAATTTGAACTCATACCCATATCTTTTTACAATAAATTAAAAATGAACATTATGATAAATTCTATCTTTCTACGTTTGTATTATGCATAAATCGACAAAATAGAATACAAGATAAAAACAAGCTTTGTGATTTATATGGTTGTGTTGTACTATTTTTTGTTTTGTTTAGTACTATACTTCGTATCAAACGGAAGCTAAATGTCTACAAAAAAGTGTAAATGATGAGACAATTCTTTCTAAAATAAAAATTAATGCTCATTCACGTTTCGATTGATTTAGTTTGCTCTGTGAGTAAATTCCACACAATGTTGTGTTTTGTAACATATTTTGGACCCATAAAAAAATTTGAAGTAATATATAAAAAATGTTACTACTCTGACAATTGGCTTTGATTAATATGCTAAAAAGTTACATAACATTTAAAATTCGTATTACAAAAATAATAGTTATGCAAAATCTTGCATTAATATAAAATTATTTAATACTCTACTAGTATACATAAAAATATATGTTGATATAAAATATTTTATTGTTTTCTTTTTTTATTATTGTTATTATTATTATTATTATTATTATTTTAAGCATATATCTCGGTAATGTTTATCTAAAATCATAATTTTGACTTGATTTTAACATTTTTAATCCTGAAATGGAGATGAAATAGAGACGCGTAAATTTAATCTTACAAAATTAATTTAACTTAATCATATAAAATTAGTTTGTAAATTAGGTTTTGACTTCACTTATATAATATAGTATGAAATTTTAACGTACATCCTCGTATGTGATGTTTAATTCTAACACAAACCTTTATATTGAAGATATGTGTAATCCACTAATACATTCTAATAAAAGGAATACAATAACCTGAAAAACCCTAGAGTTGACTTTAACATGAATTCGAAATTAGAAACAGAGAAAGGTGCTTAACTGCGAGAATTTGTTGATTCTCACAATTGTGAATTTAGGTATGGGTACCCTGTCACAGCATTTGTTTTGAAACCAGAAAAACCAGGAGTGCATTAACTATTCTGATGCAATGCAGCATCTCCATGTTCTACACCCGCACTCTTCGCTATGGCAATTTGTGGTCCTCTACCTATACCTCATGCATGGTTGTCATACTTTCCACACGCGTTCGTATGCATTTAAAGCTTACACTCTCATCCACATGCCTCAAACTCTACACTTTCCACGCCCAGTATCGTCAAGGGAACAAAATTTGGAAAGTGGTTGCATCATATTCGAATATTCCACCTAAAATTATACTATTATGCACTCTTCCAAGACAAAATATACATGCACGTCATACATTACGGATCATTTGTTTAATTCATGTGAATCAAGTCAACATTTTGAACAGTAAAATGAAGGGTTCGTGAGCATGGTACTATTGCAATGCAAGGTACCATATATGTGGATCTGCAATTCATTATTATTCTTAAAACCTTACTCTATTATTAGTTCACTACCCTTAACATCTGCACAGAGCAACTTAAGTAATTCTAATCTAATAGGAGTAAAAATTTATAATGTGTTTACTGATTCAATTAACCTAAGCAAACAATGAAATGGGAATGTTGGCATAAACCTTAAACATGTTAATTAAACGGGCATTCGTGAGTGACAGTTTGACTCTAACCCAACCTTGATCGATTTCCAAGGAAAATATAGTTAAATTTAAATTTGTTTTCATCTTTTCCCGTGACCTTAAATTGGACTAATAGTTGAATCATCCATGTATTCTCTCCATAATTTTGCATTAAGTTCAAATTGCACCCTGTTAAATTTGGTGGTTAGAGTCAGTTACTTTGTCGAAATATGACAAGTGATGCATAGGACAAGACAAATATGCATTAACACTCAACAGTATCCCATCACTGGTGTAGCTACTACTCTGTCATCAACACATTTTTCACTCTTTTGCAATAATTCGGGTAGTGTTCCAGCTACTGCTCCTCTTAATTTGCTTCATTTATTTGTTTTTTTTTTCTCCTGTTTATATTATATTATTGCCTTCAATTTTACTTTATAGATATGAATAACATAAACAGGAGAAGAATACTTAAATCAGGAGGATAATCACATCTTGACAATATTTTTTAATATAAAGATAACTCAAAAAAAACACAAGATAACTTCCAAAATTTTAAATTTTTTTTTTTGTCATCTTCTTTCTTACCAAATAAGGTAAAGCTGAAAACAAATAATGAAAAAGAAAAACAATTTTATGCCAGCTGTAAATTGCAGTGCGTACAGTTTCAGAAGAGCAGAGTTTACTGCATGCAATGCACTATGCCTGTCTGTCACTCCACTTCACATCAATTCAATTCAAACCTCTCTTTCCTAATCAACCGTCTCTATCTATCTCTAACACACCTTCTGTTACACCTCCATATAATCAATTCAAAACATTGTAATAATAATTTAAAACCGTGATTATTAATATATTCAAAAACTCAAACCTTAATATGTATCAAGTTCCGTATGGCCATTGTTTCTACTTATGCGATTAGTTCTCCGTTCAATCGTCATGTTCAGAACTAAATTAATTTAAAAAAAAAAAAAAAGTTATGTTGGAGATCTTGACACGGTGTTATAAGAAATTGCTCATGATATATATATATATATATTCAAAGGTAATTAAGTTATGCGAATTATACAAATTCAAGCACAAACAGAAAAAATAAGAGAGTTTTAACTAGTGAAACAACTGAAAGGAAACTAATCAGCAAACTTATAAGACAAAAACAAGAAATAAAGAATTAATACATGGTAATAATTAGAAAGGGTTGAAAGTTAGAATAAATATACGATTACTAGCTACTCGTGTGTTAGAAATAATAATAATAGTAGTAATAGGATATTATTAATAGATGAATGAATTCAGTGTTGGTAAGAGCGAAGAACGGCTCCGCAGAAAGTGCAAATAATGGCTCTCCACGATTTCCAATAGAAGGGGACATAGCAGAACCTGGTGGCCGTCTTCATGTCGGCGACGCTGGCTCCGCCGCCGCACCGGGAGCAGATCCCGGCCGCAGGCTTGCTCCGTTGCACCTCCCTCCGCTGATCCACCAGAAAGCAGAAGCAGACCATCTCCGCGGCGTCGTTTGGTGGATAAATGAAAAAATTATGTGAGAGAGTATTGAGGGCGGTCCGTTGGATGGTTCATTGGTTGAATGGTTGGGTTGAGGTGAGTTAATATTATAGGGAAGGTAGCTGTGGTTTTTGGCAGAAGGTTAAATTAAAGGTCGAACTTGTTTAAGCGAGTCTTGGATCTTGACCGTTGATAGTTGCTGGATGTTTACTGAAAGAGCATATTAGTGTGGTTGGTAGTAGTAATAAATGGAAAGATGAATTGCTTGTTGGGTGGGACCTGTGTTTGCATATTGGTGGCAGTTGGTAGGTCCTTTTTTCATTTTTCCCTTCATTTCCAATGTTTTCATTTAATTCAACTAATCAACTTTACAATAACAAATATTGTTTTCTATTCTTTTACCCAATATTTCTAATATTATTTTCTTCTATAGTAATAGTAAAATTAGTTAAGGATTAAATAGTGAAGTTTCATTTTCCTCTATACTATTTACTCTCTTTTTTTTATCTTTGTCTCTAAATTAAAAATTTTAAGAAATTATCAATATTTTATAATAACTTTATATCAATATCTTTTTTGTTAATTATTTAAGTTTTATATTTTAATTTTATTAACATAACAGTATTTTTCCTTTGCACATATTTTATTTGATTAGGCAATATTTTAATAACTATTCAATCATGTGTCAAGTTTGAGTGGTGCAGCCAATCCTTGGTAGTTACTTGCATGCTATTCATTGTTATTGCTGGCTACAATAGTTATGCAGGATTTAATTAAAATAATTCATTTATTCACTATAATGGTATAAAATCATCACTGTTCTAGATTAAAAATTATTTATGTATACCTAACATGATAATGTTTTCACACAATTTTTTCAGGTGCAACTTTTCAATAACTTTCTATTTTTATTTTAAATTTTTCATTTCTCTTATTATATATTATATTAATATAAAGGGTTGTTTATTAGATATTTGTTTATTAAGATGGTCTACAAATCATTAATCATATAAAAATATTTTTTTTAGTAGTATATATATTTTGTCATGAGCTTAGCATATAATTGGGATTTTTTTTAAACTAGAATATCTTCAAGGTTACTTCTTATAAATAATATCTTTTATTTTCAATGGAACTTGTTATATTACATTATTTTTAAGTAATTTGTATCGAATTTTTACAAGTTTTGTTAAGATGTATAATTTTTATAAGTATACGTGACTTTTATTATTATTATTAAAGATAATTATTTTATAAATTATTATTAAAGATAATTATTTTTTATTAAATTTTTTATAAAAGTAAGATATGAAATAAATTTTTATTATAAATTTATATATACAAATATATTAATTTTATAAGTTTATATTGTTTTTATATTAGAAATAATTATTAAAAATTGATAAATATTTTTCTTCTAATAATAGTTGATTTATCAATTATTCTTTTTTCTATTAAGATGTTTTCATTTATTTATGTTGACATTTTAGTTATAACATAAAAGATAGTGAGAACAATTATCATTTAAAATAATATTATTTCATAATAATATATAAAATATATTTTTAATTTCATCTCATGCTTCATTTATTTTATATTATAAAGATTTAAATTAAATTAGTAATGATCCGTCAGAATAAATTAGTTCAATTTTAATTAAGCATGACAAAGTAGTAAGGCAGGACAAGACGGGTTTTGCCTATCGAACCCTTGTACCACAACTTTTTTAAGTGCTCCCGATCTCCAATGGGACTAAAAATTAAATTTCAATCCTCTTTCCAGTTAGATTTTGAGTTTCTTAGTCTCCCACCTCGTCTCTATCTACATTATTTTTAAAAAAATAATTATACTTATAATAAATTAATTTTAATATTTTTATGTATTTTTATAAAAAATAAATATTTATAATTATTATTGATTAAATCTATTTTTTAATTTATTATATTAAAATATGTATGTAAAAATAATTATGTAATATTTTATTTTATACAGATATATAATACTTATAATAATAATAATAATAATAATAATAATAATAATAATAATAATATTATTATTATTATTATTATTATTATTATATTCAAATATTTTATTACCTATGTAAGTTAATTTTTTTTAAGTTGTCGTTTAAAAATATGAAATATATAATTTATGAGAAAATATTTAATGAGTTAATTATTATTTAATTAGTTTAAAGTAATAAAAGTTTAAATTATTAATCATTTTTAATCCCTTAAAATATAATTATTTTAGTAAGATAAAATTTGATATATGACAAATAAGAATAATAAGATCCAAACAAGTATGACATAATAAAACCTAATAAAGATAAATTATAAATAAAGTAATATTAATTACTAGTAAGATTTATGTAAAATATTTAGGAAAAAATAAAAAAGAAAAAAATTAATTTTATGTTTGTCAAATTGGTTGGAAAGATTGAAAAAAAAATTAATTGAAGATCAAGAAAATATGAAAATGTGAGAGACAAGGGAAAGAAAATAATATAATTAATTAAATTGATATAAAAGATTAAAAAAACAAAAAAAATTAGAAATGTATAGAAGAAAAGTAAAATGAATGAAATATAAAAAAATTTAATATCTATAATAATAAAAAACTTTTTAAATATTAATATTTTAAAATTTAAATTTATATATAAAATTGGGATAGAAACATGGACGAAATCGAGGGAATACAACACTTAAGATAAAATAAATAAAATCATTCATAACTCAAAATAATAAAAAAATATAATCATTATATAATTAAAGATAAATAAAATAAGATTAATATATAAGTGAAGATAAATAAATAAATAAAAAATAAAATTAATATAAAAAATTTAAAGAATTGTCTTTTTTTTTCTTCTTTCTTTATTTTTCACTTTCTCTTTCTTTCTCTCTCTAGTGGGACCTTTTTAATAGTCAATTTTCTTTTTAATTTATTTAATTAACCAAATAAATGTCTAATTATTAGTTTAGGATAAGGTTTATCTCTCATGAGATAAGTTAACTATTTTTTAATATATATATTAATAATATTTTTTTTCTAAAGAGATAATTAATAATAAATATATATATATATTAAAGAAAATTTAAAATTAATATTTTTCTATTTTTTTTTACAAATTAAGTAATAATAATAATAATTTTTAATTAATATTTGTTTATTTTTAATAATAATTTTGTTTAATAAATAATTATTTTATTATAATATATTTAAATTATCAATAGTAGAATTTAATATGTTTAAAATTTGTTACATGATAAATTTCAAGTGTTACAATCTATATTTTAACTTTTTTTATTTCTATTTTATTTAATAATATAGAAATAATATAATTATTATATTATATATTAGTTTAATATAATATTTTAATTTGAAATGATGATAAATTTAGGAAGTTTTAAATTTTTATAAAGATTAATTTAAAAAAATTATAAAACTAAATTCATGTTTTTTAAATTATAAGATCAAAATTAAACTAAATTAATTTTATAAAATTTAAAAATATTTAAAAAATTATTATAAATTATTATTATAATATTGTTGTTATTTTATAAATAAAATCAAAATTTAAATATTTGTATTTTTTTATTATCGTTATCATTAAAATTTTAAAATTTATTTATTTTTAATATGTAAAATATTTTCTGATAGATATCTTTTTTGAAATAATTTCTTATTTTTATTGTTAAGAATTGATGTTTATTATTATTATTTAAATCAATTTCAATATAATTATTTATAAGATATAAGTTTTTTTTTAAGCACCGAGATAAGAAACATGTTCTAATTGTGTTTTTATTATTATGATGATTTTTACTTTGATTATATAAAGAATTATAGAGACACTAAAGTATATAGCAGCTTTTGCAAAGTATTACCAAAATAATCCTGTGTCCTATAGAATCACTAATTTTACGCTTTTATTTTATCCTATATCATTCTTTGCAAAATTTTAAAGATAATTCATTCTATTTTTTTCTTTATTCCATGAATTTCAAATTTTACTCAAGTAGGTTGAATTTGAGTAAACTTGATGTAATGTTATTTAATCATTTGAATTGCTAATAATAATTTTAAATAAATAAATAAAAACACTATAATTGGATTTTTTTAACACATGTTTGATAACACTTATTTCTGTTGAAAAAACTATTTATTTTACAAAAAAGAAAAATCTTAAAAAAATACAACAGAAAATAAATCAAGCATATACATAATTCCCTTTGTATTTAATGCACAAACATATCTACTCACATTTAGTTACTCTTATAGAAGGAAGAGAAAAAATGTATAGATACCTTAATACAAACATTTCTTGATTGTTCATCATTTTTGTAAAGAAAGATCATGTATAGTACAACCACAGAAGCCATTACAAAAAAATGTAGGTTTAAATTATGAAGAAAGTTGCAATTTACTAAGAGATATATAATGTAAATATGAAAAACACATATTATAAATTGGAAAATAGATATTATTGTTCTTAAATATATTTTTTAGTTCTAATATTGTCATTTATGTTATACCTTTTTGGGTTTTGGACGAATAATTTAATCATAATAACTATGAGTTATAGAACCATTTGATTTATTTATTTTTTAAAATAACATTACGTATAAATACTTCACGCGGTAGTTATGTGGGTGTGGCAGAGAGTAATCTCCTTATTCAAGAGCCTGGAACAAGTCTCTTGAAAGTCCTTCACTATTCCATAAATAAATATATGCTTCGCACACTTGTTCTTTCTCTCGTGTGTTATCCTTCAAATAGTTTATCACATACTACATTGTTACTTCAAGTTCCTGTGCTTTTTTAGGATTCAAACAAAGATTAAAAGACCAAAAGAAACTTGAAGCTTTGACCTTTGAAAAGTCAGAGGAAGTAAAGATTGAAAACATAAAGTGGGTGATGGTGGTGGAGCATTAGGTGTAGGGCCAACTCTTGTTTTAGTTATGAAAGTACAATTCTTACTGAGATAATTTGTGTGCATTATTCTTCTCTCTCCCGCTCCGAAAGTAAACGACAAAAGAACATCATATTTATTAGTTATGGGTTTCCTGAAAAAACACAACTGTGATGGAAACTATTATGGTTGTTCATAGTATTTATTTGACAACAGATGATGTTTGAAGAGTTTTCTAATATCATAATGTTTCATGGACCACAAAGTTTAATGTAGGGGCAAAAGAAAATGGATTAATGGTATCTCTTGTGAACCTGTCCACCTGAATGCTCCTTGCGGTCGTTTTGTAAGTGCCAGCAAAGATGGGGATGGTTGCATATGGGATATGTCTGTAAAGAATTATGTTGTCTGTTTCAGCGGCCACACACTTCCTATAACATGTTGCAAATGGGGTGGAGATGATGTGATTTATACAGGGTATTGTCTTCCTTTTTTCCAGATCTATGTAAAGTTTCTAGTCCAAAATTTTCTGTGTACACAATTTTTAATATTGCATGAATTGGGATGGTATAAAGTAGTTTGCGGCTATATCAGGTTGTCAACTTCAAATATGTTTTCTATTCAAGTTTACATTTACAAAAGAAAAACTCGTACTTTATTTAGCAGATGAAGATTGAGTTTGTTTTCTCAACAAATCTAGAATACTTTGCTACTTAGGAAAATTATTCCCGTATAAACTAGTTTAGGTTAAGTTCCCATTTCATGGTTTTAAGTTTGTCACAAATACAAATAGTATGTAAAATACAAAGTATATTCGGACTGGTTTTCTTGAATTTAATGTTATTAAACACCTCAATCGTATTGTTTATGGAATTCAGCAATGAATACAACCATACTATAGTTTCTTCTCCCTTATATGAGACAAATGCATATTCCAGGAACATCCTTCAAGGCTAACAAAACATTCTTTTACTGAAATCTGGCCTGGCCCCCAAGCCCCATATAATACGAGCTTCCATACAGATTCCCACACAACCTTGTTCAAGAACATTAAGCAACTTAAAAACAAGCATGGAGATGCAGGGGATCGAACCCTGTACCTCTCGCATGCAAAGCGAGCGCTCTACCATTTGAGCTACATCCCCCATGATAGTTAATGTGAAACATTTTTTAAATAATTTTTAACACTTTTATTTTCCTGAATATTGAATTAGTAAAGAAGATCGAATAAAAAGACAGCTTGAAAAGTAGTGACACTGGCATCAAGAGCATTACCTCCATCACCCTAGTGTACTTGATTGATTCATGTAACAACATTTTTTCATTTATTTTGTCAAGCATAAAAGCTGCACATTAACAACTCTAACTTATCAAAATGGTTAATCCGATAGAAATGAAGAAGAATAAGAAAATAGAAAGAATAAAAACACTACGTAACCATCAAGGTCTCTTTTCTCATAGTTATAACAGTAAAAATAATCAAATTTACTATAGTTTGAACATATAATGATTAAAGTTCAAATAATTCTATTTAACTATTCCGGACTTAACCTGGCTTAAATTTGACTGGGGTCAACACAAGGGCTAAACCCTTCAATTAGAAATAGCTCAAAATTCTATAATCTTGTTCAGATGTAACTTCTTTAACAGAGAACAGATATTTCACTAACGAGCGCGTTTATATACTTGCAAATAATCTCCCGCATCATATCCAACGAAATGAACCAAAAATTCAACTCTAAGCCTCTTTTATTATAATAGAAAAAAGTGTGTACTTTCAAGACTAGAATATGTTTAATAAGGTAACCTATTTTTTATTAATTTGTTGATAATTATTAATTCGACATCTAGGTTTAATACTTCTCCTTGTAACAACTTGAAATATTCCAAGTGTAACAATTAATAACCATTCAACCACAGGAAAAAAAAATATTTAAGACACATTTCGTAGATTTTGAGCAGTAATGCAACTAATCTTGCTCCTCTGTATGAACCCAGCTACAAATGAAGTACGTTCTCCTAATCACCTGCAGAGAAATTTTGAAGATTAAAATTATTGTAGTCTATGCGACTAACTCGATTCACACACCTCATGTTCTCGTCCATCGAATTTTCATAGTGTTGCCGAAATGACCTACAGTTGAGAAAAGTGACATCCAAAGATGATTGTTCAACAATAAACTATGCACGTTCAACTCTAGTGTTCCCAGTCAAAAGTGACTAATTACATATTACATTGTTCTCTTGCGTTGTTGGGTGTAATTAATTAGTCCTGAATTAACCCAGAGCAGACACATTTGATTTTTGATGACTTTATGCCGACGAATTTACATAATATTATCGGGAAAAACAAAACATTGTATGCCAAAACTCCCAACAAAAATCATGGAAATTATCATAGTATAATTTATGAAACAAACTAGTATTAAAAACTCACGATCTTGAACACAAATTCTAGTCCATGCAACATAATCTTTCATAACTTGCTAAGCCGGCAGTCAAAAAGAAGGCTAAAAAGTAACTAATGCAAACAAAAGATCCACATATAATCATTAAGTGATGAACATAGACCGGAAACAAAATCTGCAAATATAGTTTTCCACAAGCTGCTCAACGATTAGCCTTGGCAACTCTCTCAATTTCATCCTTCTTCTTGATAGCATAACTGAAACGGAGTATTACATTTCGGTAAAACCCAAACACGATTAGAAAAACGAAATTGGTATGAAGATAAAGTAATCAGACAATGTATTATCCACGTATGGAATTGGACGAATATTACCTGTTGGATGACCCTTTGGCTGCATTAATAAGTTCATCAGCCAGGCATTCAGCGATTGTCTTGATATTTCTAAACGCAGCTTCACGTGCACCAGTTGTTAAAAGATAGATAGCCTGATTAACTCTGCGGAGGGGTGAGATATCCACGGCCTGTCTCCTTACAACTCCAGCAGAACCAATTCTTGTAGCATCTTCACGGGGGCCACTAAATAAATAAAACAATCAATAAAGTCAGCTATATCACTGAAATTTTTAGGTAATTTTCGGTTGGGTTCTAGACAATGCACATCAAGAACTGCATGTAGTACTAAAGTCTCTACAGCTCTATGGTAACATATAAAGTAATGCTTATTTTAAGTGAATATAACAAACCAAATGTTTACTGTGTACAAGTAACAGTACCCTCAACATATCATCTTTTTACAATATTTGTGAATAATGTCCACCAGAAACAAATTGCTCAGGAAAAAACATAAAACTTCAGTTCAATATGCCTTTGTCTACATGGTATCATATTGAGCAACTGAAAATTTAACGACATAATCAAGCAACAATTTCTAAGGACTATAAACTCGAGTGATTAACCATTTTTTTCCAACAGAATGCTAATACACAAGTGCCATCATACAAGGCAGTCAAAACAATAGAGAAATAAACAATCATAGTGTCCTTCCCCAGATATAACTGAAATTAACATGCTCTGATACTCTGCAAAGGAATTTACTTCCAGAAAGTAACATATTCAATCAACAGAGTGTTACTATAAATGACCAATAATAAACAAAAATTATAAGAAAACCAATAGGGAGAATGGTCAGATAGAGCTAATACAAAATGCCATCATTCAGGCAATCAAATCAATAGGAAAATAAAAAATCATCATTCCATCCTCCAATTTAAGCCAGAAAAAACAAGTAGCTTCCCATGTACATTCTAAATCAAGGCTCAAATACATGAAATAGAAGACAATTTTACAAATATCAAACCCAAAATTTCTCCATCAATTAAGTTACTTCACTTTCTACTGCATGAATCTTAAATAAATGAAAGGCACGCAGTCACTACAAAAGCCATACCTGTTGATGACAGCATCGACAATAACCTGAATGGGGTTCAGATCAGTCAACAAATGAATAATTTCCATAGCATGCTTGATGATCCTAACAGCCATGAGTTTCTTGCCATTGTTTCTACCGTGCATCATGAGAGAGTTGGTGAGCCTCTCAACAATGGGGCACTGGGCCTTCCTGAACCGCTTCACAGAGTACCTACCAGCAGTGTGAGGCACATAAGTGGCATGCTTGGATGCCACCACTCCAATGTAATCGGCCAGAGAAATGTCGTTGACCTAACATAACCAAAACAAACCCAACAATAATTTCACTTGACAACACAATGTAAAAAACACCAAAGCAACAAATTTAAGAATTTTCAGAATATACATTTAATAAACATGTAGCTGAACCCTAATAGGAGAAAAAGGTTTATTTTGGTGAAACTGGTACCTGAACATCATCGAAGCTCCAGCGGTTAAAGAGCTTAACATCGATCTGGGTGGGATCTGCAACAACCCCAGCTTCGTGGACGACGTCAGTCATGGCTGCAAAACGATTCAACATACAGAATTAGGAAAAGCGAGAAAAGGTGAAAAAATAAAATAAATAAGGACTGTACAGAATATAACATAATAGAAGAAAATGTAAAACGGATTCAAGTGTTGAAAACCTAAGATATTGAGAGAGGTATCCAATGAATGAAGAAATTATTAGATTAAACTTCAAATTGAAATGAGAGAGATGACTGTACCTGAGATTGGTAGAGGGAAGAGGAGATTAGGGTAGCCGCTACTTTGTATCTCTCACAAACAAGAACCACGACTCAAAACCCTAATTGCTTACATTTATACCCACGCATTGAGTGATATAAAAAGAAAATGGTTAAAAAGACTGTCTTATAATTTCAATTAATTTATAAAATCTAAATTATGAATAAAACAGTTTTTATTTTTAAATATATTAATTTGATATTTGTTGTCTAACAAAATATATTATAAAATTATATCATAATTATAAGAGTTATATTTTTAAAATCTTAATATATAAAAATAAGGAATTTTTGGTGAATAATTTCTCCTAGATTAAGATTATGTTTTAAATATACATTAAATTTCAGTAAAATATTGATAATTAAATCTTAATTTTCATTTTCATAATAAATCAGGTGCAAAAATACAGCTTCTTGTTTTTTCTTTTGTTTTTTTTTTTCAATCTGTTAAGTATTGAAACTATGGATAAATGTCTAATTTTTCTTTAATCTGATCAATCTTTTATTCTTCTATTTTATGATGAGTTGTTTCGTCATTTTATACAACGAGGAAAACTAATTATTGAAAACAAAACTACAATAAATTTTTCTTCTTCTAATAAGCAATAATAAATTATCATATTTCAAGGTAATTTATTTGTTTGTTTGAAAATATTAGAGGTGTTAGAAAATTAAATCAATCTAAAAATAATGATCAGAACCAAATTAAAATTGAATATTTAGATTTTTTATTTTTTTCTAAAATGTATAATTTATTTTAGATTTCAGATTAAAAAATAAAAATAAAACAAAATCACTTATTGTATCTAAATATAGTATTATATATTTTAAAAAAATATTAATTAATAAATATTCATAGTTATATATTTTAAAGATGTTTTATTATATTTTATTTATAATATACTTATATTTCTTAAAAACATTATTATAACTTTTTATTATTTAATTTTTTTAAATATAATATAAAATTATTATTTATTATTATAAAAAATTCATAATTAATATAATTTTTATTATAAATTATTTAACATTTTTTTCTAATGTTTGGAAGTCATGTTTTTATTCTAAATGTTTATAGAGTTTTGAAATTTTTTAAAAAATATATAGAAACTGTGAGTCCGTTAATAAGAAGAGATTGAAAAAAAAAAAGCTTTGGTTGAGGAGTTATTTATCTATATTTATATTAATGAATATTTTCCTTTTTCATAACCCCTTTTTATATTATTGAAGAGGAAACAAAAAAAATTATAATTCTTTTTTTGATGTTATGGTAAAGAAAACAAAAATTATAGTTTAAAAAAAATAATTTATATAATTTATATATTAACAAGTAATAAAGATAGAATATAATATATAATTAGTGAGAAAAAACAAAATACTTAAATAGTTAAAAGAGTAAATAAAATAATATCTTAAAAAATAAAATAGTTATCCTTGGATTTCATAACCATGTCTCAAAATAAAATAAAATATATAAAATTTGAAGTTAAAGGTAGTTTTTGTTGGGTAATACAATTATAAATATAAGTCTCATATTAAGTATGAATGAGAAAGTTAAGCAATATATAAGAAAGTAAGATTCATAATTCAATGTCTTAAGATTTTTGGTTAAGAGTGGTGTAAATTCCTTATGTGAATTGGGTTCATATCTCATTGGTATTGTGTTTCTCCCCTGTAAATATCTCGAAAGACCCAACAAATTTTAGTAATATAATAAATTATTAGCGCGTAGTGAGACATGATTACGTGCAATGACAAAATGAAAACATAGCAATATAATTGATTAGATATTAACATAATCGATTATTAGTACATAATTGTAAAATATGGATTATAGTCATATAATCAATTAAATATTAATATAATCAATATTAACGCATAATAATTTTAGTGCTTAACTTTTAACATAATCAATTAACTAATTTATCTTTTTACCTTTTAGATAATTAATTAAAAATGGATTTAACCATTTGACTTTAACAATATCTACACACACAACTTCCCTACTATTTGGACATTATAAAAAATAATAAATCTTCAATCTTCGTTAAACCATTAACAAAACTTATTTTAAGTTCAATATATTATTATATTATTAAAATATATTATTTTATTAAACCTGATTCAATTCTGGTTTTATTTCCGGTTAAACCTCGACTGGGCATTTGAACCCTAAACTCATATGTTTATCAGTTTAATGACCAGTCCGATTTTAGGAACCATGGTAATCACCTTCAAATAATACATAAGAAATAACAAAATTCATATGCCTTCAAATATAAGATTGGTCATCTACATAAAATTGTTTCCTCTGTCTCACCCATTTTATTTCTTTTTCGCTAAAATCTAGTAGTCACAGCTAATTTGATATTTTTAAGAGAAGTTATAAATCGTAATTAATCAAGATGTAACATATCGAAAGGTAAAATCGAGATTGAGACAGATAAAAGATCAATAAGAAAAAATTGAGACCTAGATGGTAAGAGATTACGAGGATAAAAATCAAAATGATGAAAATTGATATTGAACTTGTGGGAATTGAAAGTGATTGAAATTTGAGAATTTAAGTAATTAAAAAATGAATATAGTAATACATAAAAAGTCGAAATCAAAGAAAACAAGTGTTTGAGATGTATAAATCAAAGAATAAGATAAATTAAAATCTCATAATAAACGAAGGAGTGATCGAGACAAAAATAAGGTGGTTAAGGGGTATTGAAAATAAAATAATCGAATGACTATTATATTTAAATAAGGAATCGTGAAACACATTGACAAGAAACTAAACAAATTTTTAAAGGTAAATTGAAGATTTTAAGGAATTAAAGTAAAATCAGGGAGACATTGAAAAAAGATTTATCGAGATAAAGAGACTTAGAAGAATTAAGAAAGACAAAATGTCTATCAAGAAAAGATTAATTGAGAAAGACAAAGGGATTGAGGGATGATTATACAATCAAAGAAAACAAAGGATTGTGAGGAAAGTTATGTAATTCAGATGCATTCTGAAACGGTTACCACTCACTACATGACATGGCTAGTTAGTAGTATTACGTGTCAGTAAAACTGCTCGAGAAATAAGGAAAATAATTATAGAAAGGGAAAATAATTATAGAAAAGAAAAATCATTTGTATTTTATTTTATTTGTAATTTTCTTAGCGATTACACATAATAAACATATAAATATGATGAAATATGTGTAATTAAGGGTAACAAATTATATTAAAAATATTGTATTCTAAAAACACCTTGCGGATAAGGAAAGACTATTTTAATGAAATTATTGGCAATTTAGGTCACCACTTTCATTAGATTTTTTTATCAATTTCTGTTTTATCATTGATAATGGATTAGATTGACTTTTCCTATAGTTTTTCTTCATCGCGCATTTACTTTCTTGCAATTTATTTTCTTCGCACATTTATTTTTTGCACTTTATTTTGAATGTTGAAATTTATATTAAAAATACATTTAATATAAGAAAGATTACTTACAATAGTTGACATTGTATTAATTATTGAATGATCAGTGTTTTTAATCAATAGCTAAGCTATTATAATCAAAACATAATTCAAAAAGTCTCTAAATTGAAAAGTATTTAATCGGTAGATTAAACTAAAAGAATCCACATAATAAACTGATTCATCTCAAAATATTAATTTAATTGGAAAGAGTGACACACTTGGATAATAAAATTGAACAACAAACCAATTTGTACTAGAATCGGGTTTGTGTTGTATCTCACAATAAATTTATCTAAAAAAGACCCATCAAAAAATAAGTCATAATTTTCTTAAAATATTATATTTTTTAGAGATAAACCACAAACATATTATTTTAAACTTTTCAACTAAGATTCCATCTCGTTAAGGATAGTTGTTATTTAAGATAAGATGATAGAAGGATAATTGTTATTTGTTAGAAATTGATAGCCATAAAAGATAATATATCAATCTTATTATATGTTAATATTCCACAAGACACACACATAGCACTGCCTAGGTGAGTGACTCACTCTGCTGCAAAATATCCTAACAGAAAATATACCGCGTATGAAAATAGAATGGAGAGAGAAAACATAAAGATAAAAAATAGAGATATATTCTACTTATATTCTCTAACAGTCTCCCTCGAATTCAAGGTTATTGAAATTGGTCAATAACATTTAGTTTGTCACGGAGAAACCAAAATATTCTTTGAAAGAGTGGTTTGGAGAGTAGATATGCAATTTGATCAGTAGAAAAATATCCTAACAGAAAATATACCGCTTAGGTGAGTGACTCACTTTGTTGCAAAATATCCTAACAGAAAATATACCGCATATGAAAACATAAAGATAAAAAACAGAGATATATTCTACTGATATTCTCTAACATTCCCCCTCGAATTCAAGGTTATTGAAATTGGTCAATAACATTGAGTTTGTCACGGAGAACCAAAATCTTTTTTGAAAGAGTGGTTTGGTGAGTAGATATGCAATTTGATCAGTAGAAGGAATGTGTTGGACACATAATGAATGGTTGAGAACTTTCTCACAAACAAAGAAGATGTCAAGCTCCATATATTTGGTACGAGAGTGCATGACAAGATTGTGAGTGAGAGCTATATTATTTTTATTGTCATAATAAATCATGGGAGTAGTGCAACTAATGTGAAGTTCATTGAGAAGAGACTGTAGCCATAAAATTTCAGAAGCAATAACAAGACTGCGATACTCTGTCTCAGCACTTGAACGAGCTACCAAATTTTGCTTTTTGGACCACCATGAGACTAAATTAGGTCCAAAGAAAATAC